CAAGCTAAGCAGCGTTTTCTGTGTCAAACCTTCATTAATTAAGGACAAATTTCATAGAATTTGTTAAAGAGCCTATTAGTAATCATGCCAAATTGATAGTTATCACCTCTACAACACAGCTCCCATTCCACAGTAATTAAATCTGATAACTACCATCCCCCTTTCCTTTAACTTTTGTGTATTCTAATGAAAAGTAAAATATTTAAGTGTTGGTCAAGTGTTGGTTTCAAAAAGACAAGCTGCCTTTTTGGATAACCTGGGGTGATCACATCAAATAAGAACTGCAACAAAATGTTGTAGTAAAGAATGCACACACTTCCCTTCCCATTTTCTAGTATCCTAGGATCACTTGACATACCTTTGGGGATGGTGAAGGTTCCGCCTCAGAACTATAACACACAACATTCTGGGTGCTTCGTAGTTCTGCAGATCTTTCAGCTTGCCGGCACTGCTTCGTTCTTCGTGCTTGGCGTAATTTCTGACTACGTAAGCACTGGTGCCACTGAACGTTGGAAACAGAAGGAGTTGTAAGCTCCAGCTCTCCCTTTAAATAAGGAAATCCACTGTCTCTTCCTTTTGGAGGTTACTAAATCATTGCCTGCTTTTTGAATCCATATTTATTTTCAGGGATTTCTCATTACTGTTTCAGAAATCTGCCAAGAAACTCAGAAAATTGGATTGGTTAAGGCAGCAAGGAGACCCAGTCTGGTGTGTAGTGGATAGAGTGATAGACTAGGACTCAGGAGGCCTGGGTTCGAATCCCCGCTCAGCCATGGAAAATAATCACTGGGGGGAGTAGAACTGGTAAAGCCACTCCTTAATTATCTCACTTACCTTGAAAGCCCTATTAGGCTTATTGCATGTTGATTCCAACTTGATGGCACATAACAACTAGGAGAACAGAGAACTCATTATTATGAAATTAATTGCATCTCAGAAGACTGACAGCATCTGTCGACAAAATGGTGAAATACATAGTCAGCGATGAATAATATTCCTGGTGCATCTTGTAACAGTATTAACAGATAACTACTTAAATTGAATGTGTACTGAAACATATTAAAGATTTAGTGTACTGTTAGAATTTTAAATGCAGGAACAGCCTTAGCATAAGACAAACTGTAATATCATCCAGGCCGAGGCAGCAGGTAACCAGCAGTGAATTCACAGTGCTGGAGAACATCTGATTGGTTTAATTTAAGATTTACAACAAAGGGGACACAAAAATGAGGAAATACCGGATTACAACTTATCATAACAATACTAATCATAGCAATTGATAGTAAGGATCAGGTTTATGCAGGTAGCAATTTGGTTTCATCTTGGGGCCTGTCGGTTCTGTGAAATTTGGTCCAATCCAGCCAGTGCTTAAAAAGTTCTTATCTTCAGTGCGATCTGTTTTAATTATTGGTACGCATCTGCAAAGGGAGGATAAAGAGCTATTTTGCATCTCAATGATTCACTCCAAAAAGATTGCATGACCTAGCCCTCTGCCAGAAAGATACGAGCCAGCTCTTAAAGGGGAAGGATGGAAGTAGAAACACAAGCGGATGTGGTCTTTTTCGCATGTGCCAAACAGTGCTATCAGGGAACCGTAGACCATAACTAAAGGCCAGTGTGGACAGGCTCTTATTCTAATTTGTAGAACTCCACTTGAAAATATCCTCGGGGTAATGGTCATTGCACCTGATCAAGTCTGGCCTCTGCACTTCAGATGCTACCGTTCCCATGAGACCCAGAATGTCCTACAAGCACATACAGTACAAAGGGTACAGACTGTAAGAAGTCTAGTCTGAAAACAAGTACAGGGCACTATTACATCACAACAACATGCCATCAAGTCAATTCTGACATACAGTGAGTGAACCTTGCTAAGGATCTGTGTAGAGAATACACAGACGTGCTTTACCCTTCCCTTCCTCTAGGGGCAGCCTTGGGATTGTGCAGCTGGCCCAGGGATACACAGGCTGGCTCGTCTCCCAAGAGACACAGTGGGGAATTGAACCCTCAACCCCCAGCTCCACAGTCAAATACTCCAACTCACTGAGCAATCCAGGCATTATAGAAAGAACAGATCCCGCAGTTTTAAAGGAAGCTGAACGTCAGTGCCCTGGTGGCCACATAAGCCCATAGCTGTTCTTTAGGAAGTATAGTAGAAAATGGAGGTCAACAGAAACCACTGGTTCATTTAGCAGCCAGACAGGTGTTCAGAGCTTCCCAGCCCCACCTCCGCTGGCAGGTACCCTGGCTTCACTGCCCTACCTCCTCTGCGTGCTGCCCAGAGTGGTTGGCTGCCAGTGGAGGTGGGGAAGCACCAAAAAAAGGGTTTCAGCCACCAAACAAACCAGCATGAACCATTCCACCAGTGGTTCTGCAGCTGGATACCTAGCTCACTAAGCTATCCAGCCAGCGGCTGTCCTACATACCTACAAAAGGGAGATTTTTCTTTTGGTAATTCTCTTACTTAATGACAGGGTGTCTTCTCCTCCCCCCCCCCCAATGACTGGGCACAACAGTTCTGTGAATGTGCCTGCTAGCTCCACAATAACGGCAACCGAAATAAAATTGCAACAGCTGTTACACCACCAAATTGGTGGCAGCAGGTGGAGGGGGCCGAGTCCCATACTACGCCCTGTTGTGGCTGCCAAGAACTGACTTCCCTAAGTTGCAGAGTGCAGCTCCTAAAACTGTTCACACATTTTGTCAGTGTTTGCAAACAGACAAATGGCAGGACAATTTTACAGCCTGTCTGTCTAGGGGTTTCAATCTGTTTGACTGGCTTCAGAAGTAACACCATCTTCCTACACGCTTCATTTGCGTGGGCCCTGGTGGTGGTGGTGGGGAGCGTAAGCCCCTTAAAAATAGTTTTGCTCTGTGCTGGGATATCTCTTCTCCCAGAACACTCTCTCCGGCATAGGTGTCCTCTTCATAAACCAAACCAACCTCTTCATTAATCTTACAGGACCTTCATGCACCAGTCTTAAGTAAAATGCATGTAGGGGACACAGATATGAAAGTGTATTTTGGATCCTTAGGCACTCTGGCATTTTATTTCATTTCATTAAATGGCTGGGTATGATTTTTGAGCAGCTGTGAACATACATTCCTTCCTAGATCCACTGCCATTTGAGCAGAACTTGGATAAGTTCCTTTTCTGGAACACAACCATTCACAAAATCCCCTACCAACAAAAGCTGTTCACCCTATCGACTGGGAAATTCTATGTATTGCCACTCAAAACAATAACTTCTTTGAGTTCTGGATGTGAGTCACCCAGTTTTGAGTCTGCTAACAACTGGTCCTTCCGCTTCAGTTAGTGGAAAATTCATGAACATTCCGTGATGTCAGAGCAGCTCAGAAGGTATCAATGCGGGATCTCTGAGAAAGCCACCCACCCTTTAGACTGCCAGTTTTACATCCAAACTATTTTATACTTTTGACTATGTTTAGTAAGGAAGGGTGGAAATTTTGCTTGCTTCTTTTTTAAAATTTTTATTCATTCATTCGTTCGTTCCTTCGTTCCTTCGTTCATTTGTTCGTTCCTTTATTTATTTATTTATTTATTTATTTATTTATTTATTCATTCATTCATTCATTCATTCATTCATTCATTCATTCATTCATTCATTCATTTATTTATTTATTTATTTATTTATTTGCTGAGAACTTCCCGAGATTTCCTAATATCTTGATAAAGATGGGCTTTCTCTATGGCTTCTACCCACCTTTGAAACTTCCCACCAAAAGAATCAAAGCTGGCTAGTACCTTCTGTGTCCTCTTTATGGCTATCAAACGCAGACCTTTTTATTCAAGTAGCTTTTCCAGAACAAACTGCTTGCCAAGGAAGGTGCTTTTCACTGAATATGTGCAGAATTTTCTCTTTCTTTCTCTTTTTTTAAAAAAATGCTGTGACTATCTTGAGTTCTATTTTGGGGGAAAGGTGGGATATAGTAGTGATCTTAGAACTGCAGAGCTGGAAGGAGCCCTATGGGTGATTGAGTCTCATCCTGTCAAGAGAGGCACACGTGGGGAATCGAACACCCAACGTCTGGCTCCACAGCCAGAGACCTAAACCTGTAAATAAACACAGGTCCCTGAAAGGACGGTATGCCAATCAAAGCTGACAGATTTGATGCTGAGCAGAGAGCTGTGGCTACACAGGTCCTGAAAAGCTGGGATTGAATTAAATGGCGATGCCCTCCGATCAAGTTTGTAATATTGAAAATTGGTGACTATTTCTTTTTTTGCTCTTCAAACCCAAACATCAGAGAACACCTAGAAAAATGTTACATCAGAAAAGTAGTTTTTTTTAAATGTAACATTTTGACCGAACTTCGATTTGTAATTCTGGTTGTTAAGTCATATCTCTCTGAGGAAATCCCATTTCGTGGAGAAAAATCTAAAAATTGAAGGGAATACACACTCTCTTTATTCTCTGGTTTAAACCCATGTTACATATAACTTATCATTGCAAGCTTTGTATTCTTCAAGGAGCTGTCTGACCCAGAGATGTCTGCCCATGGCTGTTAAACGGTTGAAATACCAAAGTGGCCCACGGACAACATCCCTAATTTAATATGGGTTTCACAGATACAACAGATTAAAAATTTGAATATTCCTCCATCATCACGAAGGGTTTCCAAGCTTCTCTTTAAAAAATAAAATAAAAGAGTATTATTATTTTAGGGAACACAATAACCTCAGCTCTTTATTCTACATTGCAAAAATCGGTGCTTCATTTTCATCTCTCTTGCAAAATCTGGGTTCAGAACTTTTGAAAGAGTTGTATGCTTTCAGCGTCCTTCCCATCACGACGACAAAGTTGCTGATTTGGGTGGTTTTCTTGTGGTCTTGCTTTTCCTGCTGCTAATACAGCTTTGATCATGTTAGAGAACTCTTTCGGTTTTTGTTAATTTTTTCCCCCTTCTTCAACACTGAATGTGAAACGTCACTAGTTTCTTCCTTTCTTCCTTTCTGTCTTTCTCTTCTTTTTCTGCAGAGAGCGGGGGAGACCGTCGGCGGAGAATCTGAAAGGTAAAAAACATTTTCATCTTCTTCTCCGGCAACATGTTTGGAAAGCTGCTCGCCTCCTGGGCTAATTAGAGCTTTTGAAAATTGTGTTGTGATTTTTTTTCAGTCCCTCAGAAAGGGAGAGATCAGATCTTAGGCAGGAGATAATTAGCAGGTTCAAACACTCCTGCACTATGTCACCTGTTTATTGCGTGGGGGGGGGAAAGGGAGCACCAAATATGAATGATTTTTATTGTCTTTACTTAAAGGAAATGAAAATAAGTTTGAATTCAAATGCTAAGGCGCAATTAGAATGTACTTTCATTTTCCCTTCTATTCCCTTTTTTTAAAAATCTGGTTTCAAAGGTTAGAAATCTGAGTGGATCCACTTGACATAAAGGCAACAGATGTCACTTTTCACTGCTTTGCCTCCATCCTCCGCAATGCTGGGTTTTCTAGTTTAGTGAGGTTCTGAAGGTACTTGATCACACTCGAAAGGGTCAGTTTAACAGGAACAATCTCCCTTAAACTGACGCTTCTGTCTGTCAGGGAATTGCTTCAGCGAGACCTCATAAAGTAGAAGTCCTACAGCAGGACCAAAAAGGACACAGATCCGGGGTTCCGACAGGAGCGCCTTTCCCTGCATGTCATGTGATCTCCAAGAAATAGATTACACCAAGCCACTCTGCAAGAGGTCCAAATTGTGGTTTACTCCCCATGTAATCATGCCCTTAGAACTCAACGCTGCAAAACTCGACCACAATCCCCTGGATGACGGCACTAGTGCTTTCTACCAAATAATTTTAAGTCCTTCACCAAACTACAGATGCCTTGATTCCATGGGATGGAACAAGGGTTAAAGGTGGATTCAAAGAAGTAGCGTAGGTCCCTTCTTCAGCTATAGATAGGTCGTATGCCATACTTAGAAAAGACACATCAAAATCAAGATTTAAGTTTCCTTAATTTCAGTCCTTTTTCCAAGTACAAGTGAATCTGGATCCAACCGAAAGAAATCCAGTTGAATAGGTAGGTCACGGTTTAGATTACTTCTCCAGTGAAATCAACACAGATTTGGTGCAACTCATTTATTCTGGAGCATGGGCACATCGGAGGACACATCAATGAAATATTCAACCCTTTTATCCAGCATGGCAGCAAATCTGCTAGAAACATGTGCTATCATGTGGGCATGTCATGAATTTGGGGATGGGCTTCCTATGTTGGGACTTAGTTGTTGCTTGTTGGGGTTGGAGAGACTCTGAAACATTTTGGCAGGTATTTTACAAAACCTCTAGAGCTGAAGGCTAGTCCAGAACGGGAGAAAAGTCCCCTTAATTGCTGTATTTTATATGTGGTTTAGATGTTGGTAGCCGCCTTGAACAGTTGTTTGACCAGATAGGCAGGATAAATGAATGAATGAATGAATGAATGAATGAATGAATGAATGAATGAATGAATAGATAGATAGATAGATAGATAGATAGATAGATAGATAGATAGATAGATAGATAGATAGATAGATAGATAGATAGATAGATAGATAGATAGATAGATAGATAAATACATAAATAAATAAACA